TATATATATTATTTGATACTGAGGTCTTTTTGATTTTAATTGAAACTTCTCCAGGTCAAAGAGGCTTGTTTAATTTGTGTAAGAATTTGAAGGTTGTTTTGCAATTTTTCAAGGACTATGGAAACAATATAGAAGACAGATTTTTGAAAGAACCCACATTTATTTTACATCTACAACAAAAACATAACATATTTATTTCACAAAAATACTATTAACAATACTGACTGATAATATATTGCTACTAACATTCATTGTCAAAAGCATACAACCAAGAAAGATTAACACTAACAATCAAACAGCAGATAGAAAACTGTAAAGAAAATTCTTTCTCGAAACTCACATTCCCATTTCTTCAGACAGAAACATGTTTGCAACTGGTATTTCAATACTGATGCAAAAAAAGAGACAGAAGTGAATACAAGTTCTGGAATACATTAGATACTAAGATATGAAATTCTCTAATAAATGTGTTTAGAGCATTGCACACAAATTGGAAAAAAATATTTCTAAAATCCTCTTATCCACATATTTATTAAAACATGATAATTTTAACATCCAAATGAATTTTCAAAATAATTATTAGACATGATTTCTGTAATCATATTAACATATAAGGCCATTGTTATTTCAGTTCTTATATTGAAGTATGTAGTATACAATACCATTCAAATTAATTTGACTGTGTAACAGACACCATGGAAGTCAATACGAAATACAAACTAATATGCTGTGTCGCCTTTCATCTCAAGTAAAACTTGAAATAAATTTATACCTGGCCATAAATTGTTTAGAATCAGATTTAGATTTATTTAGTCAAAAAACAGTAAAAACTATGTGACGTATGGGGGAGAAGATAATTTGCACACGTTTTCTTGAGTTCCAGAATCTCTTCCCATAATTTTAACTATAAATAGTTGAAAGACGAGTAAAAGTTTAAGATAAATAAATAAACAAAAATAAAATTTAAAAAAAGCGCGAGATTAGAGACATTTGAAAACCTAGACAATTTCTATCTCGAGTTATAGAAAGCTTATTTGCAATGGTAAATGAACTGCAGATTTTATTCTCTGCACTGCTAACAAAATAGTAACTCTCCCTTACCTCTACACCTATGACTGCAAGCAAAAGGAGAGTTCAACAAAACGTGTGCATAGTGAAGCTACATTGTTTCATTCCTAACAAGCCCTTTGTTTTTAGATAAGCTTGGATACTTTCTCTGGCATTAGACAAGGCCTTGTCATGTTTAATATATTCTTTAATATCTCAGCTTTTTTATAATTACATTCTAACCCCAAATACACTAGACAGCTCAGAACTTCACACAAAATCCAATTTACTTTAGAGTGTTGAGAGAGTAAACATTATGCATCTAATCCAGATGCTTGTCAAAATCCTAAACACACTAATCAGCATTTAAGTCATAATTTGAAGGCATATGACTGCACTTATACAAATACATATCGCAAATTTGTGCTGAACGTAGGTGAATGAAACATTTCTTCTCAATAAATTAACAAATGATATATCCATAGCAATTTCTGTATTTCTCATAGTTTGTTACCAATGAATTAGATATTGTCAGATTTTTCCATACTTGGTAGAAGTCCACCAACTTCAAGATATTGAAGTGTAAGGTGGTGTAAGCCTAAAAATTCTGGCCCTTGGCCAACAAATGAAACATAATTTCAGTATACACTAGGCAATGATCAATTACTACTTATATAAGGCAGTCCTATTCTCAATAGTGAGAAATAATTCTTTTTTTTATTCTGCTCATTCAAGAATGTGGAAATTTTGATTGAGTTTATTGAAATTCACTTCTTCAAATGCTATTCATTTCTTGATAAACTATTAAAAATTTTACACTTGTTTATACTTTGACAACATCTCTTGAAGCAAATGATTTTGTTACTTGACATTATCTCTTAAATTAACAAATATACAAATCACCATATTCTACTATTATTTAAAACATCTCATACACCTAACGAAAAAGCATTACACATATAATCCACTATTCATTTTATTTGTGTTAATGTATAAATAAATATCTTGTTCTCTAGAATCAAGCCACATAAAGTTTTCTTTAGGCTGAAGAAAAATTACAAAACTGTGTTAATTGAGAGGAAAGCAGTTCTGGGTCTCTAAATACATATTAAACTTTCTTTAGAAAATATCTTTGTTGGAAAATCCACCTTCTTGCTATGTAGAAATAAAATTACATTCTCACCTGAAGTAAAACTAGATATTAATTCAACTACGACTTTTGGGAACCAGATAATGAGGATTTAAGAAATATATACAATTGTGTTGGAAGATACTTTCCATTCAAGTACAAAAATAAATTATTTTTTCACCGACAATGACATCATACTATTGTTTTGAATCAAAATTCACAAACATTTCACTCATTACTTACTCAATACATGATCACATGCTTTAAAAATTTCAAGATATGATTCTACTTTAATTCTATTTCAGTCTTTTAAATCATGCACTTACATTCTCAAGATATTATATGACCATCAGTTCTAAAGAACACACAGATTTCTAACTCTGAAAATTGTTTCATAAATGGTAACAAGGTATTTGCTTGAGATGACATGTTATAGCCTTATTTAGAAATATGTCCATATGATAAAAGTGAAATCAGCAATCCACTTTCATTTTTCTACCTTCCCTTTTTTAGAAAAAGATTATAGAAAGCAATAATGAGATCAATAGTTTATTATTCAAAATTATATTATCCCTTTAGAGCAATTTTTTTACTGCAAGTACAGGTAAGAAAAACAAACAAACAAAAACATTAGAAACAATTAAGTGTTATTTTTTTTATTACGGTGTATTAGTATTAGTCTAATCAACAAAACTACCCACTCACAACTGGTTGAAGAAGAAATCATGCCAACTTCTAAACTTCAACATCCTCTCATATTGTGCTCTATTTAATTACAATTCTTGCACCGAGTGCTTTCTACAGCACACACAAAAATACAGGAAGACAAAAAGGATGATAATTTAATACTGGCAATATAGAAGGTATAATTTACAAGTAGATAAAGAAAATATCAGAAACCACTGCTATTAGTAAAACTTTAAAATCAAGTTTTGATGACAAAAATAACAAAATCAATATTATAATCTGGTTGTCTTTGTATTAAGGGCAACATTTCGTATAATCACTTCAACTCACAGTAAATTTTAATTATTAGTATCATTAAAACTACTGAAAATAAAATTTAATTTAATTTTTCCTGGACAAACATCATCTTTCCATGAATATGTTATTCAATCAATATCTTGAGTAATATCAGTATAACACACAAGTATGACCTGTGTAAATTGCATACTTTTTTAACATCAATGTATGTAATTGTTAAGCAACGAAAAAATGCAGTTTTCCAGAGAAAAAATGCACTAAAGTAAAGGTCATGTAAAGGGAGTCAAGGGAAGCAGTTTTCAACAGTGAATCCTGAGTAAGAGGTCAGGGCTTGCTGCTGGGCTGTGTCAACACTCATCTGTCCCTTTTCAAAGTCAGCAAGATAAGCACTTGAATCACATGGATGGCAACAATTTCTAGCTAAGAGCCTAAGGCTGAATAGGCCTCAGGCTGCGAATATTGCAGTAGGAGTTACCAAAGAGTCGCACTTGGGAAGAACACCACAGAGGTGCTAAAAACGAATCCGAATTTCAGTTTTACACTTTATTAAATTCAATTCAACAATCACTTATAAAATGTATTTACTGAAAATAATTAGATTGGAGGAGAAGGGGGAAGGGGATGTGTTTTTCGGCCCTGCCTAGCGCCAAGCCCCAATAATTGGAATTTACGGTTCCTTGATAAAAAATGCTTTCTTTGATCCCTTCTACCTGTCCTTGGGATTTCTGTATATTTTCTGAAAACCATGAATGTGTGTAAAACCTGAATGCAGAGTCCTGAATACAGTTCCTCTAAGAGAATTAAATTTTTAGGATAAACACACATTAAAGCTTTAACATAAATTAAATATAAAATAAATTGTAATGAATGAGCTGAATTTCTTATGAAATAAATGAATTGAGGATATATATATCAAAATTGAACAGAGAAAACATTTCACTGTTACTTTTATAACAGTCAGAGGATAAACCTAAGTTAGAAAGAATACAGATAGGAGATAATCTAAGACCATTAATTTGCTACATCTCATGGTCACATGCTAAGCTCTTGGATGTTCAAAGTTGTAAGAGTACGAGGTAAACATTGTATGGTTAAAAGTTGAAATTTCAGATTAAGATTTAACATTTTACTTATGACATTTCTTAAGAAATGACAATACATTTCCACAATGCAGTTCTAAAACCCAATGCAACCTTTTATTATCTTAATTTTACCACAAAAAGTATTACTTATTAAGATTAATGGTTCACACTTTATAAAATAATTTGAGTTTAGAATTTTGGAAACATTCATTAACAACACTCTTAATTTTATTTGCAGATTCAATATTTGGAATGCATGCAAATAATTCTTTTTACAATGTATAGCAAATGTGAAAAATTAGAGCAAAATTAGATCAAAAACATGCTAAAAATTAGAGCAATCTGTAATTATCTTTTATACCTCCTATTTTGAAGAGTGTTCATTCATATTTCTAATTTGCCAAGTGCAAGCTTTATAAGTGTACAAAATATATTTTTAACCTAATCAAGAGAAAAAAAACAACAAAATGTAGATGACATAAAATTTATACATAAAACTACAAATATTTTAAGTAATTCGCAATGTTTCTGCTGTTGTTACATTTAATAATAATAAAAAAAAACAACCACCTTGAATTGTTTCCCATTGCAGCAAATTATGACCTAAAGAGAAATCTATTTCAAATTTTAAATTTCATGTACAATATCATTGTCAAGATATAAATACAAGCTTCAAGTGTCGAGGTTTAGGGACAAATGGTGTTTCAACAAGTACATGGAGGATTCATGATCATGATAATTTTTTTCAATGAAGTCAAAACACCATTCTATATATTTAAAACTTAAATTACTAATTAAGCAAAATACCTTTTCCATATTCATTCATTTACCAAATTTGGGGTAGAATATATTATATAGTAGAATTACACTCCCTGACCTGCATATCAGATAAATAGTATAAGTCTCCATTAATGCAAATAACATTACAGGGGAGGGGAGGATATTAATTCTCCAAATGAGCCATAGTACTAGAATCCACAGAAAATAAACACTAAATATGAGTAACATCAAGGTAAAAGAAGAAGCATGACATCACCTCTCCAAATTCAATGCTCAATTTATTGAAAGAGCAATGCAACCATTTCAAAGAGCAAGGAGGATTCAGCTGTGAACTAAATCATGCCAATGGTAATGTATTATTTCCATTATTATATTTTCTTTTCAGCTTCTACACGATATTATGCTTTCAAGGATTTCATTCGGTCAAACTATAAAAATTCAATATAAAATCATTGAAGATTTCTTCAAATTACCACAAGGATGGAAAAGAACTAGAAATATTTAAGGGGTATTTTATTGAGTTATAGTTTGTTAGTTTGCTATTGAATATATAAAATTTTTATTTTTGTGCAGAACAAATAGACAAAACACCAAAGTTTTAAGAAGTAAACTTTTACATTCATAAAAACAGAAAGGGCAAGAAAACAGCAGAAGGACATCTGACTTTTCTAGAACAATGCATTGATTTTGTATGAGGAAAGGCTATAAGTAATACATTTTGTGTGAATGGTCTCGCTGACATCTTGACAATGGATGTATATTTACTTTAATCTTTCAGATATGTCTGGTCTCACTTCTTCCATATGATATCTTGGTGTATCTACTTTATATAAAGATAAACCTATTCTCAGTTCTTTTAAGTTTTATGTTCTTTTCTGTTTTCAGGATTATCAAGCATACATTTTTCAGCCTGGTGACACATTTTTATTGATGTAGTTTATAACATTAGCTATTTCAATATGGAATTTTTCTTTTAATTTTTTTTTTAAACGTACTTCCACTTATAAATAATTTACACATAACATTTGATTGTAGTTTTCATACTAATTTATAAACATTCTTTTGGGTATTATTGGGTATTCTTTGGGTATTTTATGTACTTTGTAAGGAATGATGTAACAATAATTTCAAACACACATTTTATCTATGTATTAAAAACTTGAGTACCAATATTACATTAATAAAATATAATAAAATTTGATTGTATTTTTATGTATAATACACACAGCCTTTTCCTTTCTACCTCAATTGGATACAAATATTAAGGCGTAAAATATTATGACAAATTAAAATGAATGTATCGTTTTCAAGAATGTACGACAGTGGAGCCCAAATTTCTTGGCTATGCACATCTGAAGGAAACAAATTATTTAACTTTTAATCTTTAATTGAATTCAAGTGAGTCTCAATACTATCATAATTTTTTGTGAAAACTATAATTTACCATTCATGTAAGTATCTTTTTGATTTTATAATTTTTATTTATTATGTTATAAAAATTTCGATGATGTAATACACATGAAGTTTCAAAAAAATAGTGAGACAATGAAGAAAGAGTAAATGATGATACATTTATATTATATTTTTTCTGTAAATTAATATCATATTTATTATTTTATTAATCATATTTAAATGATTAATACCATTTGATAATATCACATTTAGTTTGTTCTCTTAAAAAACAACAATGAAAAACAACAATTAAACTGTCTTCTTTACACACTCTTTTGTTCATTCATATGATTTGTCTACTCACTCAGGCTTGCACATTTCCGGAACCGGAAACCAATGATGTACAGAACACAAGTAGACGATGAACAATCAAAACCTATGATCAAAAGCAGAATCCTGCCTAATATAAGATGAGATTAAGATGAATTTCACAAATGAAAATTCAGGGCTTTTCAGGAAGCAAATTTCCTTTCTCTGATTCATTGGATTCCTCTTCATTTTCAATTTGTTGATTCCACATTCTGTTGTACACACCTCCAAGATTTAGTAAACTACTATGGCTGTAACAATTAAATTCATTGATTAGATATTTCTCTTTTCAGGAATAAGGGAAAATAAAACCTATTTCTCAAATTAATGTAGTAACTTTATTCAATATAGATAAATGTAAACATATGAAGAGTACACAACAAGAACATGTTAACTTAGATATTTTAAAATTGAGTAAACAGGTTCCAGCAACTTTTCAGTTCCAAGTCAAGTAAAGAAGCAGAGTTCATATATTTTATTTTGGATAGAACTGGCCCAATGTTGGCAACTTTGCTTTATGATATAGTGACTTAGTCTAGGACTAAAAGTCCATCCCAATGTAGCAACACTAATAACACACTATACACCCTAATAACCCACAATACAATATTTTCTTTTTGTATAATATCCATTAGAACTTTGTTGCTTGTAAGTAACATTAGATTAATTCTCAGTTAACAGAAGTAAATCAAATTATATTTTCTACAGAAGTATATTTAAATTATATTCATCAAGAAAAACTACAATTTTTCCTTTGCACGAAAATCCATTATCACTCTTCTAAAATACAACTAATGTAATAAGAACTTCACATAAAATATCTTAATACTGAAATAAAACTTACGTTCCACGTTCTACAATTTCTCCATCTTTTAATACTAAAATTTCATCACAATTAATAATGGTAGACAGACGATGTGCCACCACTACTGTTGTTCTATGAGCACACACTCTGCTTAAAGCATCTTGAATATTGCGCTCAGTCTCAGTGTCAAGGGCACTGGTAGCTTCATCAAGAAGAACAATTGATGGAGCTTTCAACAAAGTACGAGCAATTGCAACTCTTTGCTTTTCACCCCCACTGAGTTTTAATCCTCTTTCTCCAACCTGAGGGGAAAAACATCCATTTAAATACATGTATAATTTTCATTACACAAAAGTAGAAAAAGTCTACAATATAAGTGTTTTATTTATCACATTACTGAATTGAGGGTTTAACTACCTGTGTTTCATAACCATCTGGAAAATTTAAAATTTTATCATGAATATCGGCATACTGGGCTGCTGAAATAATTTCATGATCAAAGGCATTAATGCGCCCATATCTGATATTGAACCTGGAAGTGAAAGAAAACATTAAGCTTACTAAATAGAAAGATTGAAAATACCAGAATTTGGCGTACTGAATTTGTCTTGTGTAGATGCACAGTAGAGAAAATACTGCAGGAATGTAACATATCAAGACAGCATTCAATTCAATGTTGTTAAATTCATAAACAATATTCCCATGTAACTTACATTGTAACAACTCAGAAGCAGGCCCAATCAATGACTTGCATTGGATCTGTACCAAAAACATCAGCTCTTTTTTTATTTTCATACCCTCAAGATTATTACAGAAAATTCTTTTATATTGATACTGAAAACAATCTGTTATGGAGAACACTTGCATCCCCATACTCTCGGCTCATCATACATAATTGCTGTTTACACACATTTTTCTTTTACAATTTAAATGTAATGTAAAGTGATAACAAGTTGTTATATTCACTTTTAAATGTTTAAACTTTCAATGAATTATATCTTAATTGTTTAATATAATTCATAAAACAAGAAGAGGAAGAATCAGTAAAGAAAAACATGAAGAAAACCGGAAGACGTGGTTTAGGGATTCAATCGATGTCACTGCAGTGCCTCAGACTGAGAGGTCCTGGGGTTCGAGTATTGACGGTGGTGGCATGATTTTCGTCCCTAGTCAGATAGCTACGCCGAGTTTTGTTTCTGTCTGGAGGAGAATTCTAGCGGCCAGTTGCTCTGATAGGTAGTTTTCTCTGATCAACAACAGGCAAATACAGAAGCAGTACTCTAACAAACGGGCCACAAACTGTGTGCGATTTCTCCTTCCTCTTCCTTTTCCTATATTCACTCTTAACACTCACTAACATGCACTACACTAGCACATATGCCGGAAAACTGGTTGGGAGATTAGGGCTTGCCTCTGCTGGGGTAGTGCCCCACTGGTGGGGGGTATCTGGTTAGGGAAAATGTCACTAGCTGATGGTAGATCAGTGCTGGATCTCGCCATCCAGCGGGGCAAGATCACCATCACCTCCCGAGCAAAAAAACATGCACTACACCCGGAATCACTAGTAATCAATCAATCAAGGAAAAGAAAATGAGGACTGAGAAAAGAACAAGTGGTGCTTCAACAGCACATACTTCATTAAGAAAAATTCAGAGCGATCAACGAAACTAAGACGTGCCGTCTTTTTTGCTCTACCAGAGATTTTGTTAAATATAAATTGCATTAACTTCAAGCAGAAATTACACAAAAACTACTTGTTTCTTCATAACACTGTGCATGACTTTTTTAACATCTAATTTTTTGGAACAGAAATTACTTAAGAAAAAAATCGTTATTATCAATATCAAACTTTTGCCATGATAATTTTTTGTAATTTTTAAAATTACTTTTGCTGAAAATATGACCAGCACCACTTTTTTTTACTGCCATTTGCAACATAGGATGAAAAAATTCAAGGTAAAAAGTTGGAGTTGTTTTTGGAAAAAAATAATTGTTTAAAAATTGCCTGTTTGACAGAAAATTATACAAAAACTACTCAAAGAGGGTAGTGGAATAAGGCACTTCTCGAGAATAAAAATGTTTTGTATTGAAAATTTATTTGAAGTTAAAAAAAGAGGTTTTTCTTCAGATTAAATGAATTTACCCGGAGCACTTTGCACAAATAAAAAAAAGTGTTTTTAGCTTTTTATACCATTTTTTTACCATATTGTGGTAATAAATATTGATTTTAATCATTGTTGCATTTTTCTGTAACCTATAAGAATGTTTTAAGGATTTTTTCAGAAGTTTTTATCAGATTTTCACTCTTAAAATCAACAAACAAGAAGGATAAAAGAAGAAAAAATCACTTTTTACCTTCGTTTGTTAAGAATATCTCGTGTTCTGATGCAAATCGTACAAAGGGCTAAACACAAATTGTAGCCCTGTACATTATCTACTTTAAGAATTTCAACCTTTTACCTTATAATTTGTACCAGACAGTTCAATATAAAGGAAACAGTAATATTAATAGTTTGTTATTTTTTTTTTATTAGGTTTTGTTTTGATTAGTTTTTGAAGTTTTTCTATTTTGCTTTTATTTTATGTTTATTAGCAAAGATTTATAATCAAAATAAAATTGTATGTATAATATTACAACCTATAGCAATATGAATTTTGAACAAATTAAGATTTTAACAAAAAGTACTGTGTGTTTAAAAATGAAAATAGCACAATGTTGCAAATAATATTGAAATTTACTAGATGCAGTTACTACTAATAGAGGCACTAGAAGACGCAGTTACAAATGTTTTTGATTTGGACATCAGATTTTGGAAAAAAGTCATTTGGTTCGACATGACAAAGTGTAAATTTACCATCTACCTTTAAGGCAAAAAAATTATAATTAAAGATGTTGTCATTGCCAACAATGTTTTTTAATTCAAAAGCAGCTTTCGATGGCTTAGCCATCATCATCATCAGTTGTCTGCTAGATGGAAGCCACAAAACGACTACTCGTAGTAGGTCGTCGGGTAGTCGTTTTGTGGCTTCCATCTAGCAGACAACTGATGATGATGGCTAAGCCATCGAAAGCTGCTTTTGAATTAAAAAACATTGTTGGCAATGACAACATCTTTAATTATTTTAAAAATGCCAAAGATATCCTACCACAACACCTATAAAAAAAAATTATTCTTGTGTCATCTGGTTTATGTCACCAGATGCAGTCTGCCAACTAATAAAACAAAATCTGATTAAAATGAAACAAAATCTTATTTAAAAACACACACACACACAAATTACTGTTTTATTTATATATAGCTCTTGGGTGAAAATTATAAGCTAAAAGGTTGAACTATTGGGTAACTGTAGAGAAGTTACAGGGCTACAATTTGAATTTTGGCCTTTTTATGATGTGTCAGCTAATGAGATGCTCTTAAACTAGTAGTGCTTAAACAGCACATTCTTTGTCGCCCGTATTTTCATGTAAAATTTACGAAAAATTGTACACAACTTTAATTTTAAATCTATCTTTAAGGAACAGATTAAGGGAAAAAACCTCTATCTTTAATATTTTAATTGTAGGAAGACTGAAAAAATTTTTTGAACTGCAATTTTTGAAATATGTTTTTAACAAATATCAGATCTGCACTATTGTCTTAAATGTTCTTCACACTCTCCAACAACAAAATTTAATAAAAAAATAGTGCCATATGTTTGAAAATTCGGAAAATGTTCCAGGGGCTTCATGTAAGTACCCCAAAAAATTAAAATATCGGTTTCAAATTTAAGGGGCCACGACATCAGCCAGTTCTATGGGAGAATATCGATTTTTGAGAAAATGGGCAGAATGGTTCAGCACACAGACTGATGTCAATACATTTTTTTTTGTATCAAGGATCCACAACACATGGATTCTGGCTCTTCCACGTGATAAGATTTTTTTTCTAAACATGGCAACTGGATTTATCCACTTTCCTGTTAACAGGGCCCTGTAGTGAGTTTTCCTGCTGAAAATTTGACATTTTTTCGTGTAGCATTTCAAAACTTACTCTCTACTCCATAACGAGAAAGTAAAAAAAGAAAGAAGAAAGTAATTTTCCCCCCTACTTCTTGTTTGGTGGGTGTCAGGGTCAAAATCAGATATAAACGTCTGAAAAAATTCTTGAAACATTCTTAAAGCCTACAGAAAACTGCAAGAATGAATCAAGTCAATATTCATACAAGCAATCCATAGGTTATAACAATGAAACTGCTATAATAAGCTAAAAATACATTTTTTTTCTTTCCCATTTCTGAGGTACTCCAGGCCAATTGATTTCAATCCAGTGAAAAACTTGTTTTCTTAATACTTCAAATATTATTTTGATCATAAAAAATTTGTATCCCCCGGGACACTTCCCACTATCTTATTCTTCTACCTCCTCTTGAAGAACTGAACACTATTAAATTTCAAGATCATTGAACAACAGATTTCATTAAGGAAAAAAAGGGCATCTTCAATATTGTAGTTGAAGACACCAAAAAAATTTGTTTACAATTTTTGAAAATTCAGAAATTTTAACAAAAATTACATGTACACAATAGTTTTGAGCAACCTTTTGTTTGATTTTTTAAATCATTTTTAAGTATAATTTAATAAGTGCAGGGTTTTATTAAAAAAAATTGGAGCCAGTTTAGAGAAAATTTCGAGAATGTTAATGCTTTGTGTGTCGTACCTCCAAAATCAAAATATGTTTCAAATTCACTCTTGATCTGAACTAACTTGAGGTTAGTGTCACTATTGCAGATTCAAGTAGGAGTTAATATGCATAGCCATTACAAATAATATGACAAAGTATGTGATGTAGCACCACTAGTTTTGATTCAATTTGAATCTACCGGCAATATAATAATCTGGAAGGAGTCCAGTTAAAATTAATTTTAATTATAAACATTCTAGTGTATTCACTGAAATAATTTATTTGAATAAAAGACATATTTCATGGGCTATATATAATCCCACAACAATTATGATATTATATTATGAAGGTTATAACAACAATATATTATAACAATTGTGCAAAATATAGTTTTCCTGAGAGAGTCACAATTTACATTCATTCAGACCAATATTATTAAACACTCGAAACACTGGATGCTACATTCTTAGAATAGCATTTTTGGGTACTATCTCTTTTGCTAATGACTATCAATTACATTGTGTAATCATAGAAACAATAGTTACCTAATTGTGTTATTAAAAAGCACTGTATCTTGAGGAACCACACCAATTGCACTTCTCAGGGACTCTTGAGTGACTTGACTAATATCTTGATCATCAATCATAATTGTCCCTTCATTAATATCATAAAACCTAAATAGAAGCCTTATTATAGTGCTTTTGCCACTTCCTGAGGGACCAACCTAAAACAAAAATATTTGAAGAATTACTTGTTCACTTTCCCTTAATTTGCTCACATTTGTTTTTAGACTAGTATAATAACAAAAACAAACAAAAAACAAAACAAATAAAAACATACTAATGCAACGGTGTGACCAGCAGGAACTATAAATGAAACGTTTTTGAGGACTGGTTTTTCTGGAAGGTAACTGAAACTGACATTACGGAATTCAACAGTAGCACCTTTAACTTCAAGAGCCTTTGCACCTGGTATATCATGCACTTCCTGTTTCTCCTTGAGGAGTTCCAACATGTTTTCCATATCAACAAAATTTTTTTGTATCAGCCTGCAAAAAAGAAGAATAAATAACACTGTAATAACAAAATAAATTAGCGTAAGAGAGGATAACCATTACTTATATTTTAATAAAAGACCTTCTATACATTAGATATTTTAATATTATATCTCAAGGGCACATATCCTTCCTTAAAGTTTCTTGATGTCCCTGATTTTTAACAGGTTATCTGACAAGCTCACTTGTTTTAGCAATTACAAAAGTCTGCCTTTTTAACATAACATATATATTCAGTGACACCTACAACATACCCGTTTTGAAATTAACATGACGTAAAAGAAAGTTATATTCAAAGTTCTACAAACTTTTAAAAACAGTATGAAAATGCCTTTTAACAATTGATTCTCTCGCTGGCATTGGTTAATGCATTTAATTTTTGTTTTGTTTCTTTAACTCTTCATTACATTTTTGTCATTTTCATTAAGATTTTGGGATGTAAGTGGTTGAAATTTGGAAATTTATGACATCAGAAATTATGAATTCACTACATATTCAGCCATCCTAATTAATATTAATCTGATAATACACTACTGCAGTTTTACAACATACATAATACAGATAAATGCATACAAATCTATGAAAAACATTAATTCACATATTAAATATGTAAGAAAATAAATAAAAATAAAACCATTTCTCCAAAGTCTTTGACCTATTACTTTCTTGCCTACTATATTCACTCATAATAAACAGAAAATATTGTAAAGCTGCAGCGGAAAAGGGTGATTTTTCATCACAAAAATTCATATTGTGGGGTGCTAATATAAACAAGTGGACAAACATTTGTCCTGCAGTAGCTCCAAGTACTAATCAATCAATCAGACAGGTTCATAAATTACTAGACATTACTATAGTGTGTACATTACTATGGTTTGTACAATGGTTATTGTTACTATGGTGTTTGGAAACCCTTGAGCTAGTTTTAACTTTCTCGCTATTCCTTATGCAGTATCAAGAAAAGGTATTCTATTGCTGTGAAAAAAAACTGACTTTTCAACAGTAAAAATCTTATTGTCATGCCCTAGTAACAAAAAAGTGAATAAATCCTGTCCCTCTATGTAGTAAATTACTCTAACACGTTGTGCACTCAGAATCCATGTTTCACAATGATACTAAAAATTCCCTAGGCACCAAAAATTTGGTAATGGCAAAATGTCAGGCCATAGTCAATGCTAGCTCCTAAACCACAGGATTTCTCCAAAAATTGATATTCTCTCATCAATATGGCGAACAAGCTCCACGTCCTGCAAATTTGAAATAGATGTTTTGATTTTTGGGAACCTTAATGAAGTCTTACATGAATTAATAACCTTAATAACATATTCATAAATGGTTCCGAATTTTTTGATGATTCCCCCTCCCTGGAGAGAGTAAAGGTGGTTTAAAAAAGTGGAACAGGTCTAATTTTCATTTCTCTGAATCTTTGAAAATTGTATAAGTTTCAATTTTTTTTCAGTGCCTTCCTTCAACTACAATATTGAAGAGAGAGTTTCCCCCCGATTGAAATCTGTTTTTTTTAGACACATCTTAAGTCAAGAATTTGCAAAACTTTATTTCTTAAAATAATAATATTAATATTAATAATAATAATGATAATAATAATAATAATGATAATAATAATGTCGGTCTTATGGTGCAGACGGTTGCGGCAGCCGTCGTCTGTGCCGAAGAGGCTGCAGGTTCGAGTCCTGCGTAGACATGGACGTATTTGTGAGTATCCCTTCACCTATCATCATCATCCTTTCATCTCATAATTCGCACTTCAAGGCGTAACAACCTTGTTGTAATTCAAGGATGCAGCTGAAAAGCTGATCCTGGTAGAATTACACAGGTTAATCGTGTAGCGTGGTCAGTAATGGCCTATGCGCCAATAATAATAATAATAATAATAATAATGTTTAAAAAAATGCTATACCGATTTACAACAAATATTTCTCTCATATTCCAGCAATTGTTACATGTTAGTTGCTGTTCTTAAGAACTCACTTTCATCAATATAACAAAATTTCACTACACAAAAGTAATCACTTGGGTCTCCACAATTTCTTTATTTTGGTATTTTACTGTATTATTTTCAAATTCATTAAGTATTAACAGTTTTCATGTTCTTATTTGAACTTTTTTATCATGGACCTAACAATAAAATATAAACCACAATACAATGTGTTAAAAGAATATTGTGCCCTGTAGTTAGTCAGACTTAAAATCAAACTGCTCAAGTAATTAGCATCTGATTATCAGAGAAACCATTTAAATTTCAACACACCTGTAATAGGTCCCAAACCAATTTAGAGGAACATAAAGTTGAATTATGTATGACGCAAATAAAACATAATCACCAACAGTCAATCCTTCATGATTAACTACCATGTGCACACAAAGCATTGATCCTCCAAGGAGTCCTCCACAAACTATAAAGTTTTGTAATGAATTTAATATATTCAAGGTTATATTTGACTTCCATTCTTCAGTCTGAAAACAGCAAGCAAATTGCACACCAATTACAATATTTAATTCATTAAACCCTTTAAAATTCCAGTCTTACACTTCTTACTTATTTAAATGACAATAAACTTAGAGTCAGGGAGAGAAAACTAATTACTTTTGTCACAAAAAATAAAATATTTTGTACCTGAAATTTTAAGATGGCTTCTCTGAAACAATCAATTTCATAAGACTCAGCACCATAGTACTTAACAGTTTCAAAATTCAGCAAGGAGTCAACACTGCGAGCTTTCTGGGCATTATCAGCCAAATTCATACTTCTTTGGAATTTTGTTCTCCATTCCGTAACCAGCATTGTTATCACTGCAAAATGCATAGACAATGATATGGAATATCACTTAAATGCATGCACTACAAAAAATAATAATAGGAATAAATGAGAGAATGCCTATTCTAAATAAACACAGCCTACTATACTATTTAGCTGAAAACTGTGATGCTTTGCTGAATATCAAGCAACATACTTTTATTAGGTTTTATTTACTATTTATTATTTCTGTTACAAGCTGGCAAACAAAAATGATACATAATCACTCATTCAAAACAATTTGACTGAAAATTATGTAAATTGAGTGGTGGCAAAATAAACCAAACCAATAAAAAATGTTGACATCACACCTCAAGTCGAGAACAATGAAAACATACGATAACCTCAGGTGAAGATATATGAGCTAACATTAACATTTTTCTCTAAAAAAAGAGTATTCTGTATCTAGTGATTAGGGTACAATAGAGAGATGGACTACACACAATAAAAGATATAAAAGAACAGGATAAAATACACACTCACAATGGTACATGTAAAACAGTTAAATTTTAAAATTTTCAAACATTGCTGAACAGGGGCAACGTAAAAGATAAAACACTCTTTTTTCTTAAATTGTATGGTACAATCCAGTTACCTTAAAAAAGTAAAGATATTATGGAAGTGAGGGCTCATAATTGTCGACAGTTAGCCAGATTGTGTCTTTGGCAACCGTCATGAAAACAAAAAATGACTTTTTGAAGATGAGTTAAATTGAAGTTTGAGACTCATTCACCAATAATTCCATTTAAATGTTCTTCTTCTTCTTCTTTGACATTTAAATTATGTTTCTCAATATTCAAAGAAACAAATTTACTCTCTACACATGTCCAAGTCTGATATTGTCTTCTTTTGGATAATAATGTTTAAAAGATGTTTGGGAAACTGCAACTTTTGTTTAACCCGATTGATTTGTGATTCTGGTCAACTGATAAGGTTATTAGTCCCGTAAGGGTAGTGTGTGTTTTTAATGCAGGAAGTGGCAGTGATCTTCCTCTGTTGGATGTCAAGACCTGGCACCGACCTAAACGTCGGCTAGCGAAGTTTGCCCCAACCAGGCATATCCCATCAGCGGGCACCACTCCAGACGCGTCAAGTTTTAAGCTCAAGACTGGTCTCCCGGCATACGTGTGTATGTATGTAAATGACCAGACAGAGAAAACTGTTCAGAGGAATTTTCTACAAAATTGATATTTCCTGATCGACCTAAATCAACTTGAGACTCTGCAATTTTGAAAATGATATTTGGATTTTAAAGGGTAGGTCATTGAGCCTCAACATCTTCAAAACTTTCTCAAATATTGCTTCATTTTTTAAATTAAACTATGCCCTTGGTTATTGTAAAGGAGTTTTAAAACAATGACGCAGGTCTAATTTTTGTTGGAATCCTCCTTTTTTTTTTACAAAAATTGCAAACATTATCCAGTGTGTTATTACAATTTCAATCTTGAAGATAAAGATATTTTCTTTAATAAAATCTGTTCAAACACAGATCTTGAAATAATATAAACTATAATTTATATAAAATGAGTAGTTTTCACATAATTTTGCTTGAGATATAGGCAATTTTTAAACAATTATTTTTTCAAAAGCGGCTCCAATGTTTTTTATTTAAATTTTCTTCCGGTATGTAGCTAAGGATAGTAAAAATATGGTGCTAGTCCCTCTTCCGGCGAACATAGTGCATTTTTAAAAATTGCAAAAAGTTAACATTTGATAATATGAAGATGCAAATAGATATTTTTACTGTGCTACAAAATCAGCGCTTTAAAAATGTCATGTACAATTTTTGGAAAACAAAAGACTTTTTCGTGAGATTTCTGTTAATGGAATTTATAGAAAACAGTTTTTCCCAAAACACATTGCTTTTTTCTCTAAATTTTCTACATGGATAAAACATTAGCTTAAAAATGAAAACAGGACTACTTTCCCTTGGAATCTCAGAATTTACAAAAATGGCAAATTTATAAATACGAGAAAGTATGTGCTGTTGTAGCTAGTTTCCACTAGTTTCTTTTTAGTCGATCAATCCACAAGTTTTCAAGAATTTTTATTCTTGTACATATTTTTCCATTATTTCATCTCTGATTACTGTGTATTTTGTTTTCATTAACAGATATAAATACATTTTTTGTTATCTCTGGACTATGCGTATAAATATTACGCAAAACATAGCATTCCAGTATCACATGAAAAATTTTGAAAACTTGTACAATGTCCAAAAAGTAAAAAGGATACCCAAGAGTTAAATTATAAATAATTTTGTTATATCAATATTTTCAGTTCATTTTTTATCCCTATTATTCTGTGGTATCCTTAACTGTTTTCTTCTTTCATTCAACAGAGTTCAACTTTTTCCTCAAAGAGAATTTCTACTCCTGCAGCTGGGAAAAATTTCTAACATTATTTTCTTTCTAAAACAGCCCCAAGTTGCACAGATACCATAACATCAAGTAGAAATAAACACGGCAGACTGCTTCAACAATTTCTATAACATAGAAAAAACGGTAGGTAATAAAATATAACAGAATCACTCACCCATGTACAATCCCATTGTCAAGAAAACAATGATTCCAAACCATGCATTAAAAGCTGACACAAAATATATAATTGCAACTAATATATCCACCACTGTAGGTGCAATGCTGAATAGCATATAATTGAATAAATTGAAGATGCTATCAGTTCCTCGATCCATAATTCGAAGCACTTCACCCGTTTTACGGCTTAAATGCCACTGTAAACTCAATCCATGTAAATGGCTGAATAATTCAAGCTGAAAATAATTTTTGTATCAGTAGAAAGATAAACTAAAATAAAAAAAATATATCAAACTGAGGATTCCTAAAATTTACATGTAACAACAATAATGAAAAAATTGGTTAATTTTGTGAATTGAATAACCCAGAAACACCCTGAAAAACTAATTTTTTTGCATGAAGTACATTGAATTGACAATGCTTTTTTACTAGATGAAATGATTAGTAAGTACAACAGGTTATTTTGACAGAACTGTAAATTCTAGAAGTCTCACAATATTAAAAAATTTTGGTAAGAAATGAAGTCAGGGGCCAACTACGAAGTACTGATTATGAGCGATACTCTAATATTACAGCACAATTATTCTGAATACATGAATCATTTTCTGATTTTTGTAATGCAATTTGAAACAGGCAATGATATTTTAAGTTATAAATTTCAACTTGTGCAATACATAAAATAGTGATCAATACCACCACATGCAAACATCACATAATTATATTCAATCTTGATTGACAAATCAACTTTGAGAGCAAGGTCAGAGTAAAACAGGCATCATCACAAATCCTCAAGAAATAGCAAGTAACACCAGTTTTTACATCTATGTTCACAAAAGAGATACACTAACAGAGTAACCACAGAATTAACTACAATCAATGACTGAAGTACAGATGTGGACAAATTATAAGCAAAATCATTCCATATGCTCTAAATTATGACTTCCCTTACTAGTTGGACTGGGGAAAATTGTTATATTTCTGTAATATGTTATATGCACATTCACAAAGCAGCCCTTGATGGAAATGTTCATTTAGGTGAATTTGTATGTTAACTCATATATCCAATGAAACCATGACATATTAACAATATTTTTATGTTATATTTGAGGTGTCTCTGGCTGTCATAATTTTTTTCTCAGTACTTATGCAATTCGTCAATCCACATTCCAGATCTAGGCCCCCGTTCCGAGCCCTCCTCCCATTAAGAAAGAGGGTCTGTGGGCACCTGAGGTGCGTAGTAGGTATCGGAGTTGCATACAGTACGAGAGTCAGTAAGCAAGAACACGAAGATGGACAAGGCAACAGGCATGTCTCCACAAAAACCTGCCAGAGTTGACTTGTTGCTAAAATACAATTATAATTTCATGACCAAAATTAGTCGTATAACAGGAGTTGGTGTGGTGTATGTGAATAGATTTGTGAAAAACTTAAAGGAAGAAAAGCAGATCACCCTTAGAGGAAAAGAAAACATAAATGGAAGAGGGCTACAACCCCAGTTTTAGTCAGTTTTTTCCTAAGATAAGCATCCATAAATAGACATTTAATATCTCAACCCCAAAGTGTTGTCCAAGAGGACGAAGTACAAATTTCCTCAAGAACTGTAAGGAGGAGGCTGCTTGAAGGTAGCTTAAAGTAATGACAATCCTGCAATAAACTAAATAGACTGCTTCTTCAATAAAAAAATGACTTCAATGGACCAAGTTGCACCAAGAATAGATAACAGAGGAGGGGTAGAAGATATGTAGGCCATTTCATATAATTCAAAGATAAAATCTCATTCTTCTCCAATTTTAGAACATTTGGGATGGAAGTAAGCCTACTGTTTTAATGTGCAGATACATAAAATATTTTTTACTTAAATTTCTCAGGTTGTATTCAGTGATGAAACCATTATCTGTGCTATGGATGACAGCCCCCAATGTGTTAGACGACAGCCAGGAGAAGTCTTCAGGAAAGAATGTGTGGTGCAACTAGTGAAGTTTCCCAATAAATAGATGACTTCTGGTTATTTCAGTGTAAGGACTGAGCAAAATTCATGCAGTAAAAGGCAATATGTATTGTGAACAATATAAAGAAGTCATCAGTCATCAATGAATGAAGGTTTCCAACTGGGGATAGAATACTCATGCATGATGGTGTTCCTTGCCACCAATCAAAAACTGAAAAGTGAATTGGATTAGTGGACTGGAAGAGTGATGTTTGAGTGGTCAACTGGCCAGCACGTAGTCTGGACATGAATTCAATGGAATCACTATGAAGTGTTTTTAAAATGAAAGTGAAGAAAAAACATACTACAAGAAGGGAACACCTCGTGGAGTTCTCATTACCATTTGGAATGAAGATGACGATATTTCCGCACTATGCAAAAAACTCATTGAAGGAAAGTCCAGATGAATTATTGCTTTAATTCATGCTAAAGGTGCTCACACAGAGTATTAATAAGCTGGTAGTTGTTCAATTCTAAGTTAAGTTCCAATGTTTTGAAACAAAGACTTTTTTTTAATTAAATACCATTTGCTAATAATTTGTACATGTCTGTAGATGTTATAGATTTATATACAAATTTAATTATACTTTATAATATGGAGACAAAAGATACAATATTTGCAGAACAATAATGATTTATGATGTATTTATAAAGAAGTATGAGAAATTTAAAATCGAAAATTATCAAAAAAATAGTTTTTTTCCCTTATTGTATCAAATGTTACCTCAATTTCACGTGTTGTGTACTGCTGAACACCTATCCAGAGAAAAGAGCGCAGATTATTCAAAAGACCCATTCCTCCAGTTCCCCCTCCTTGCAGAAACTTGAAGAAAACATACAGCAAGAGCAGATCCCATCTGAATTTCAAGTCTGAGCCAGTCATACTATCAACTGAAAACAAAAATCATCGTATGCATACAAAAGATGACAGTAATAAAATTTCATACCCTAACTTTTGTTCTCATTTTATTTCATTTTTTTAATTTTACAACAAAAACTGTTAAAGTGTGCCTGACAGGCTACAAGAAGAAGTGTATTCTGTACATGTTTCCTTAATTTTTGGGATCCCTACCATAAACCATATGCAAGTTGAATTCAGAATATAGGAAGAAATGAGTGTTTCTGGCAAAAATTGTGAACAAAATGGAACATTTGTTCCATGTAATAAAATATATTTTCAAAGGCAAATCGGCTATAGATTTGGGATCTTATCCTTCATCATGTCCTTCATGCAGGAATATACTTCTGCCACAACAACATGGAGAACAATAATTTGAATAATTATATTTCCCACTAAACTCTAGAAGACGTGCACAGATAATGAAGTTACATTTATGTCCAGAAATAAAACAAGGGGCCATTGCAGCATTTATTCAAGGGATTAGAAAACTGAACAGAAAATCAGATCGAGATGGGGGTCATTGACTAAGAAGCTGAGGTACAATACTTGTTATATGTTGTTAGAATTATACAGTCCAGTTTCTTCAATGCTGTTTCAATTAACTTACTCATCCTTGCACTGATATTATCCCATAATCACACTGAAAAATCTAACATAATTCAAGTAATTCCTTACCAATAAGTTTACTGTACAAAGGTACGTAGAGATTAATTACTCGTCCTCCCAGAAGTAAAGCAATACATATTAAAACATAACATTGCAATTTGAGATCTCTCTTTGGCCACATGTAGGGTACCAAGGTCCTCATTTTTGAGAAAAAATTTCTGAATGTTGAACCTTGATTAACAGAGGTTTCCTAAAAAGAAAATATTATTTTAAAACATATTCTTTCTTAATATCAAAAAAATTTGCAACACATGAATTAATATATATATAAAAAAAGGCAACAATGTAAAAAAAATTAACACAGTTGCACAAAATTAGAGTTCTAAGCAAAATTGAACAAAGGATGAATCAATGCGGATAGTGATTAAAATTAATTTAAATAAGTATTATTTGATACAGATAAAATTTGTAAAGAGTTTTAGGATAAATATTTTTAGGTGGCAGGAGTTGTTTAAGGTAATTTTAGCAGGTACCTCAAGCAAATGAGAAACATGACAACAATGACCATTATAATTAAAAAGTAATACATTCCCTTAATATAATTTTATGACAAAATTTGACAATGAATAAAGTGTTACAAAGAAATATGCATAGGGAGGAGGAAAAAAAAAAAGGAAAAGAAAATGAGTTTGTCACATGTAACGATATCCACCTGCATTTTTCTGTTTTATTGACAGACATTGCTGTATTAAGCATATTCTGAATAAAATCTGAAATAAATCGGATTTTTTCTATTCTCTTGAAACACAGATATGAGTTAAATTATTATTACTATTACTATTACTATTATTATTATTATTATTATTATTATTATTATTATTATTATTATTGTTGTTGTTGTTGTTGTTGTTGTTGTTGTTGTTGTTGTTGTTGTTGTTGTATTTTGCTTATGTTATTTGATCAGATTATCATTTATCTGAATGAAAATTATAATTAGGTACAAAATAAGAAATTGTAAATAAAGTTGAAGTAATGTAGTAGCACTGTAGTATCACAAATTTTAAAGCAATCTACAATAAATTGTAATGTTTATTAAAAAAGTCATTAATTCTCTTTATTAAAAGGTTTTTAATTTCAAATCATTTCATGTCATCGAAAGAACCAGTTAACTTCACTTAATAAATGTATGATTTATTAAATATAAAACTAGGAAAAAGAATATTCAAGTTTCCGCAAGTTCAGGAACTACTTTTTTTACTTGTGAAAAAAGTATCCTCATTGCATCGTATTGATCCTTTGATCCTTATGGCATCGTAAAAATTTAATTAAATTAAAAATGACTAACTTGTTTCTATTAATTTTATGATAACTTAAAAATATCAATTCTTGAATTTTTCTACAAATAAACCAAAAGTTATAATTTATGTTCTAGCAAAGGTAATTGAAATTTCTGAATATTTCTGCTAGTATTTCATCCAAATCAATTGCTGTCACAGAAAATCTTGTGTATTGTTAACTACTTTTTATTCACAATACTTTAAAAGGTCTTCAGTTGTTCAAAAGATATTTTAAATGATGTGGTTTCAGGTAACCTCTATATAATAAAATAACCTTAATTATTAACATATTTTGTAGAAGTACAAAAAGGATTTACCTGCCTACTTGGCCCAGCCAACAATGGGCCATTGTCCATTGGAGATGAGAAATGTTCAACAGGCATTATACCTGGGGCTTTCATGCCCAATATGAAGATGAATACACACGATGCAAATCGCACAATAAATATTCCCAATTCAACTTTATCTGCAAAACTGCAAAAAGTTGAGAGTTCATTATTTGATGTAGTATAAATATTGTACCTGAAAACATGCTGAAATTTTACTTTGGTGATGAGTTCTGAAGTTTCGTCTACATCAGGTGGCATAGAGTCGAAATTATTATATTATTACTAATACATAAGAAAATTTTCTCTCTGGCCCAAGTTGAGCAGTGAAATCTCAAAGCAAAATTTTTACATGATTAGAAGAAAATTTGAGAATTTCCATTTCTAACTCGTCCAAAATTATTCAACTTTTTCTAGATTTGTCTTGTTAGCATTATTTATAAGAGCATGGACATTGATAAGTGTATATTTGTTATTGAGGTATCCAAAAATCGTGTGTTGACCATAAAAGCTGTTCCCACATGTGGCATTTTTGAACGCTCTTTTACTGATTTTTCCTTTGAAAATTCTGCAATTGTCAAGATTCAATCCTCATTCACTAACCTGGTCTCTTGATGTGCTAAAATTGTAATATTAAGTATTTTCTCTATATTTTTAGTTTTTGGTGAAATTTCTGCTGTGAATTTATAATCATATTATACTATCCTATAAGAGGCTATAACTATTACATAATTCCACAGAAATGTTAACAATATTTGACTCTCAATTATTAAACTGCTATCACACAAATACAGCACACGATAATACACTTCTATAACTATCATAATATTGAATTATAACATGCATTACAATCGTGTAATGAATAAAGAAAACCTGTCATGTGGAGGGTATGAAGTCTGATGAGCACAATACTTCACAATGAACACAAGCTAAGCTCAGGTCAAAGGCTTAGTGAATGACACAATGGTCAGCAAACATCCTACTGCACACCCAAGATAAAAGCTGATAAGGGTTATGGATAAGTTTATAAACACAAATTTTACAATAACCAAGAGAGGGGATTTCAAAACCTTAGTAAATTTAAATATCTTCACAAAAAATCTTGCATAAGAAACTCTGACAAATATATTTCAACTTAATGCTAAGTCTCAAGCATTAATTTTTTCAAACATTTAATTGTGACTAAGCTAGATCAAACTACAAATATATTATCGACAGTGACATAACTAAGGAGGAAAGGGTGGCCTGTCCAAAATGGCACAGTTATTGGGGGCAACACTGAATTAAAAAATATACATTTACACAAATGTTTTATATTTTTAAATTTACATGTTTGCCCAACAAAACTGTGTAAACAATAATTTATATTTTTCTTCTAAATAACAAACAATGTTACTCTCTAGTAAATTAAAATCTTAATTCTCTACTGAGAATTGTATTTGGATGCAAAGACAATAAAATAAAAGTAGCTGCAAGAAAAATTAGTATTAAGCAACCTCTGCTCTTTCTGTGAAAACATTAAGAGGGTAGTTGCTTAATAGACGAATATCTTCCTATTTCTTAATAATAATAATAATAATAATAATAATAATAATAATAATAATAATAATAATAATATTATTATTATTAAAAACTGTCTATTATTACTCATCAGATTTTAGGAAAGTGACTATTACATCAGATATTCATGGAACATTTTTAGTATACAAACACAAATTACGAAAAATGAAACATTATGATCAGGTTTTAATTTGCCTTTTCTGATGTATATGCCCTTTGAATTTGTGCATCAATATACTCACCTACTTAAGTTAAACCACCAGCTTTCTTGATGCAAATTAAAAAATGCTGAGCATTCAGCAATAAGTTGCAATGCCCAGAAAATAAGTAAAATAACTCCATGGCCTTGGGGTGGTACAGAGGGCAAAAGATAATTACGTTCCAGGTATATCAACCAATATGAAAGAGGATATACAGTCAATATACATCCAAGTGATACGATCTGGAAAATAGGTAAAAAAAATAAGTGTCAATACTTCGAATAAAATACATTCAATATAATTCTTTAGATTGAGTTAATTAATTTTTTTTATTTATTAGAACAGCATTCAAAAAGTGAATGTTTTCTTGCTCCCCAACATTAGAATTTTTAAAGAATGGAAAAAGAGAGAGAGTTGGGAGTGACCAACAATTGTCCATTATTGACCGCTCAACTGATAAATTATCTTCTAGCAACGATCTAAATCTATATTTTTAAAGCTATTAGGCATGTATTCATAATTTTCTGTTTTCTTTTAGATGTAATAAAATTCAAAGCAATGCTTGGAAATACTTGCATTTTCTAGACTACTTCAAATGTAATTTAATTAGATAAATTTATTATCGCAGTTTATCCTAAGGAGGACTGCATAGCCAAATTCATTCAATAATATTTTAAGCTTCAAATTTTCTCATAAGAAAGTCCATACTTATTTTTCAATAATAAAATATTGCAGCAAAATACAGTTGGCAATGAGCACAAAATATTTATTTTAATGAGCAATATAAACTAATACAAACTGTTTGCTTTGCAGTTAAATCCCAAAACTCCTCAGGATTAAGCACTTAAGTCAAAATTAATTTATAATCAAAAGCAATCTATTACTTTGAGCTAGGTAGGATTAACAAAAATTAAATACATCTTAAATTATTGGTATAAAAAAAAACTTTAATCAAATAATTTGATGTATGGGGAATTAATACTTGTGCTCTGGCACAAGACTTCTTGTACTTGCAAAAGTACAAAACTATCTTCAACCACATTCTCATGCAATTTCTATTGCATGACAGTCAATAGATTTTAAACTTTAAATACAATTAATTTTATGACAAGTACCAACTAAAAACTATGAAATATATTATTTCAAAAAAACAACATTTACCATATATCCATACACAACTCCATGATTGAATACAGCTGCTTGTAAAATAAAACGTAATGCTGCCAAGCAGGGCAACATAAAGGTCAAAAACACTTGCAATTTATATAAAAAAGGTTTGGGTAAACTTTCTCCAACAGGTGTTCCATATTTCTTGTACATTCGAATTTCTATAGCAGCAAATATTAACAGATATGCTGCAACCACGCTTGGAGCTACCGTATCCATGAAACAAACTGATGTTCCATGATTCAACCATATCTCTCCAAATGTGGAATTTGGGGGACAGTACTCCATTCTGAAATCTAAAGCCACATAGAGATTGCTATTCAATTTCTGAATAAGATTACACATGAAATAACAGTAATTAGAATAACAAACTTGAAAAAAATATTAATATGATGGGTAAACAACATTAATGACAGTAAAATTGAAGAAAAATATTGGGAAACATATTTTCAGTTTATTATTTAACTTGGAACGAAGAAGAAGAAAAAAATACTCAGTACTACACGAACTCGACAATCAAAAGCAGCTCTGAACATTCATTTGTTAACAAACGACGACAGGTACTATTATGCTATCATGACTTAGGAAAATAATGTCTTTGCCTTTCAAATAATTCAAATGAACCCGGAAAATATATTATTGCCATACAATAATTAGTGACACAATAACAATGTATTTACTTTAAAATCACGTTCAGTTCTGAGCATGGACATTTTATCTTTAAAGCAAAAATGCGTAGATATATAAAACTAAACGACACACTATTTACAGTAGGATATCACTAATGTTTCGCAACAAATAATATAAAAATAACACAACAGCTTCAAGTGTTTCGGAATTTGTTTGATATTCTTTGAAATAGATATGCCAACAAATCTTGACACACTGGATTTCGTACCGGCACCCGGTAAGACATAATATGCGACTACATTCAGGTCGTCTTTTGCTGAATTATTACTCATTGTCTACAGAAGAAGATTATAAAACTTACCATATACCATGAAGACGAACGTTTGAACTTGACTGAATCGCGTTAGCACAACCAACTCATAATACTACAAAACGTAAAGTCATTCTCTCATTCACATGTGACTATCGTGCTTTTCCGTCCTACTCACGTACACCTCGCACCCCCAGTCCATCAGCTGTACTCGCTGTACTCCGATGAACAATCGGACCTCTGACTCTGACGGTCCTGTCATGCGCATGGCCAATAGTAGCAATGTTTACACGTACGAATTCTTTTGGCTCTATTTCAAGTTTCACAACTAGCACTACTGAATGTTTTTGCTATTAATATGTTTGCAAGTATTCAAATGATGATGATCTTGACATAATCGGTGTGCCTACTCCCACATCACAGATCTGAATAACAAGCTTTTCAAGTCATGTTATGCCATCTAAGTCAAATTTTAACTTAGATACGCTACAAACAGTGTACTTTTCAAATGTTCACTCGAAACCTAAATTACAGAATCATATTCTGCAGAAATCCCAGAAATTCGTTTCTTCACCCTAAAACGAATATTGAGCACAATGCCAAACACTCATAAACATGAGTCCCATAAACTACTGTTCAAAAAATTACAAATCGTACCACTCCCATGCTTGTGCATATTTGAATTAATAATCTTCACAAAGAAGACACTTACGGGAAACAGGAATTCTGTGATTCTAAACACAGAAGTTCATAACTATGATGCTAGGCAAAAATGAAATCAGCATATCTCACACAGTGAAACAACTAAAAAAAAAATACCCTTATAGAAGGCATTACACTTTATAACAAAATCCCTAGTTAAATCAAAAGCTTAAATATATATATAATATATATATATATATATATATATATATATATTATATATATATATATATATATATATATATATATATATATATATATATATATTGTATAATGTATCTACATCAATTTAAACTCATACTAATAATTTTTACATGTTTTGAAATCCCGAAATTGATTGTTGGATATGAAGGACAGACCCACCCCAGGCATGAATCTTCAATGAAGTCATTTTTTCCCTTTCTTTTTCTATTATTTATTAATTATTACTAATTATTATTGTTATTGTTACTGTTAATGTTACTGTGTGACGGTGACGGTGCTTGACTGTTACTGTTGTTATTATTATTGTTACTGTTTACCTACTGTTACTCTTATTGTTATTGTTCTTATTATTATTGCTATTATTGTTTTATATTGTTATTATTATTATTATTATTATTATTATTATTATTATTATTATTATTATCTTACATTATTACAGTATCTACTGGTCGGTATATCAACATACACAGGAATGATGACAGGTGTGTGGTTGCTTTACTGAAGGTTCAGATGGCTTCTGACAATACGCATGTATTCAAAATTACTGACTTTTGCATATTATATACATTCCTGGCATCCAAGTGAAGACACTCCAGTGTCATTTTCGGCATCACTCCTGTAGCTGATATTATTATAGGCACAGTTGTCACTTTACTGAAGTTCCACTGGGTTGCGACTTCATGGGCGAGATCGGTATACTTCTGGATCTTCTCTTAATATTTTCCCGATATGTTGTGGGTATTGGGTATTGATATATCGATAAGGAAAACCTGCTGATGGTTTCTATCAATGTAAGTTATATCGGGTCTATTGCCGCGACATGTCTGTCAGTGATAATGGAGCGATCCCAGTAGAGTTTGTGCTTACTACTTTCAAGCACATTCTGAGTCATATATTTATAACACGGCACGGAAGTGGCTAGTAAGCCCGTTCTCAATGCAATAATTGGTGGACCTGTTTCGCCACTTCATCATGCTCTTTTTGTATTCAACTGTGCGTGGCTGCTACATCCACTTGTCACGTGTTGGATAGTTTCGCTTGCAGCCTCACATCTTCTACACGAGTCAGAATGAATGGTAGAATCTCTCAGAATGTGTTTTCTGTAGTTCAATGTTGGCACCACTTGGTCCTGGTCCTATCATGAAGGCTTCTGTTCTCCGAAAGAGATCCCGTGCTGGAGCCATGCGTGCGACGCAGAGATGTTGACTTCTGGTTTACTCAGCTCGTGAGGGTACCTTCCATGCAGTGCCTTCACTTTCCATAAGGTTATCTTCTCTTCCGTTTCAATGATTGGTTGAACAGGGGGATCAAGCTTTTTCAAGTTCAGAGGACTATAGTTATTATCAACTGCGCTCACTGCTTGCTGAACTCTCTCACAATGTTTCAAGAAGTATCTTCTGAGTGAAGCAATTTAAGAGCTATGTAGATTTATGAGATCTACAACACCTCGCCCTCTTGCGACCTTGGAAGGGTAGAACGCTCAGTACTTGAATGGGGATGATGTTTTCGGTGTTGAGTCATAGCGGTTCGAATTGTTCTATGGAGGTTGTCGAGGTCGGTATTGCTCCATTTAATAACGCCAAAGAGTATGTCAGCACTGGAATAACAAATGAATTGATGGCCTGCACAAGGTTTCTAGCAGAGAGTAAAGGTTTTAAGAGACCATGCAATCGTTTACACACTTCAGTTGTTTGTATGTTCTTAGTAACAGTGTGTTTCATTCGACTATTGGAAACCCAAGTATTTGTAAGTTTCATGGGGTTTCATGAAGGTAATCTTTGGTTCATTATCAGATTTCAAATTTATAACTTGCATATGACCCCGAATGATATTCACTCTCCTGCACTTATCCAAACCGAATTTCATCTTGATGTCGTCAGTGAACTTCTCCGTCACGTTTATTAGTTGCCGCATATGACTCTCAGTGTCTGCATAGTGCTTCAGGTCATCCATGTAAAGAAGATGTGAGACACGAAGAAGAGTTGAGTTCCCCTTTTAAGAGCGATTCTATAATGAGATGAATTTAGTAGAGTAGACAGGGTATTCAAGGCTAAGCAGGACAGTAAAGGACTTAAAGAGTCACCTTATTCTTATTATTATTATTATTATTATTATTATTATTATTATTATTATTATTATTATTATTATTATTTGACCGAGGAGGGGAAAATGCATTACGCATACCGGTAAGTCCGGTTATGTCGGACTCTCCAGCGTGGCATACCGACTAAAACCTAACCTCCTCGATTCACATGGGCCGTGGTATCTTCTGCGCGGGACCGTCGTTGAGACATTACTTCACGCAGAAGATTGGCTGAGAGCATTAGATTTCCTCTTCAGATGGTCGCTATGGTATTTTAACTCTCTGCTTTAAGTAGTGGCTTTCTGTTTTAGTACGTGAGCCATGAAGTCTCGCACAACTGTTTTCCAGTTGTCTCTGGATTGCAGCATAGGCTGGGCTGTGTTTGCAGGCGTTAATTCCCGCCGCAATTTGCTGTAGCAGTTTCTTCTTTCTTCCCCCAAGCTTTGCAACTATATATGGTGTGCATAGCGTCGTCGTCTTCTTCATGACATAGTGTGCATATCGGGCTTTCAGCGATTTTAAATCTGTATAGATATGTTGAAAGTTCCCATGCCCTGAGAAGGCTTGCGTTAAGTAGAAGTCCATTGTGCCATGGTTTCTGCTGGTCCAATCCTTAATGTTAGGGACGAGGCTGTGTGTCCATCTACCTGTGTACTCCAGGTCCCATCGGTTTTGCCATTGGTGCAGGAGATAGTTTCTCAATTCCGCTTTGATATTGTCTAATTGTCTTTTTGACAGGGTTTGTTGTTTGTCTGCTGTCATCCTCAGGTACATTGTCCTCCTTTCCTGGGCTAAAAGGTCCACTGGGGGACACAGGCCAGTACTAAGGCTGCACTTTAGGATACCGTGCGATATCCTGAGATTATCCTTAGAGCCATCCTTCTCTGGATCTGTGTGAATTTCCGACGAATGGACTCTTTAGTTATTATTATTATTATTATTATTATTATTATTATTATTATTATTATTATTATTATTATTATTGTTTTTCAATTTTAGTCTTTTTACCCAAGCATTTATAAAATTTATTAACATTGTATTACATTGTATTTAGTACGCAAATTGAATTGAACTTTAATTTCTGTATTGTATTTAATTTTTGGAAATATCTGGATTGAACATTGGATGATTATGTACATATTCTAACTTATCGTACATGGCTTCTGCTGTATTTACGTGATGTAAGGGGGGGAATCCCTTCTGAAGACCAAAGAGTATATATCAGAGACGGCGCTCAATGTTAAAAGGGCAAGCCTTATTTGCCCAACTTGCAGTGTCGCCACATTGTTCTGTATACTTTCTATTGGGTCTATTGAGTAAACAGGTAAACGTAAAATGTTACGGAGTTGTTGGTGGGTTTAAAGACAGTTTTAACCCCGTGTCTTGTTAACAGTCTCCCTATGTGGTCCGTTACTCTCTTCACATAGGGCAGGGAAACTGTATCGAGTAGAGTATCTTCTGTATGGTTTTATTCAACTGCCTTTCTCTTCGGGTGTAGAGCTCGTCTTACTTCACTGGGCTTGTACCCGTTGGCTTGTTCGTAATGGCTTCTCGAGGTGTTGTAGTTCTTCGGGTAGGTGGTCAGGTTTGCAAATGCGTTTAGCACGGTGCAGGGTTTTGATCATAGCGCGTTTCAATCATGACGCGACCCAATCAGACATGAGCGCGCGAACCTCGCCCGTCACCATTAATATAGGTCCCAGAGTTGCAGGAGCGCCAGACAACGCGGTGCTGCCAACTAGGACACTTCGCCCCCGCCAGCAACGCCACTGATGATGCCTGCCACAGTTGCAGGCGAAACGTTTGGACCAGTCTCCGTTGGACCACGGCCTACAAACCCGGAAACAACTAATTATTATGTAAGTCGATAAGTTAGCAAACGAAGCAACAAAAGAATGTTGTTAAAACACTCCGTGAGGTCCCACATGTATTCTCTAACGTCATCAGGTCGAAAAAAACAGCGAATTGGACACCGGAACAGATAGCTTTATATCCAGCTGTTAGCACGGCGATGATGCCGAGACCATAATCATCAATGACTCCACTAGCGAGCAGACGGCTACTACCCGTTCCAAGACCAACCATGTCGCAGACTAATTTTTATATTTTAGATGGATGGGGAACCTATTACACGGTCGCATGTACCGCTACCATAAAAATTGTCACGGCACTACCCGATGATCGTGTCCGTCTCTGGATAAAAGGAGAAAGGA